TGTTGGAGAAAGGTCATGGAAAGTACCACAACATTTATCTTAAGGGCCCAGCAAATTGCAGTAAGACATTTCTGTTAAACCCACTCAACCAAATTTACAGCACCTTCAGCAATCCTGCTACCACGACTTTTGCCTGGGTAGGAGCCAAAAATGCAGACATTATTTTCCTCAACGATTTCAGGTGGTCTAAGCAGATAATACCATGGCATGATCTTTAACTCATGTTGGAAGGTCAATTAGTGCATTTACCCACGCCCAAAAGTCATTACAGCAAAGACGTTACTCTCTCTAGTGATGTGCCAATATTTTGTATGGCAAAGGAAGAAATCAGCTTCATTAAGGGAGGTGTGCTGGATGCTATGGAAACAGAAATGATGAGAGTGAGATGGAATGTATTTGGTTTTCATGCAGAAATTTCAAAAACCGACCAAGTCGAGGCACAACCATGCGCCAGATGCTTTGCTGAACTAATTATGCAGAGGCAGTAAGACAAGTTTAACAAAAGTACATAAGTGTAGAACCAAATTGTCACAGACTAAAGTTATTTCATTGTGTAGATTTGCATCCGAAGCGCTCACTATTTTCAGATTTGTTATAACAAACGGAGACCAATAGCGACTGTAGTAGAGCACCTTTAGTCTAATGGTGACGTCACACGGTACACAAGTGTGTAGCGTAGAGTTAAAAAATACACAGTTAAATATTTTTATCACTGCTGTACACAGCCATGTGTACCGTGTCAAATTTCTAAACTTTCAAAATAACATTACTTACACAATTTTTTTACAGTTTTATGCAGTTATTTTTATTGAATAGACGGGAGTTTAAAACCGCAGTACGTAATGTATATATTAATATAGTAAAATCGAATATTATTTAGTATTTTGATCTAATTCCTTTTTTCCTTAGTATCGCGGTAATGCGATTAGACATAGTTTCGAGTGTCCGATCAACAAGATCAACACTTAAGTTATCTAAACAGCGACATACTCTGTCATGAAAATTCTGAAATGATTCCTTTGACAATCGCATATTTATGGCTTCTTCTTCTAGCTGCTTCTTTACTACATGGAAAATGTTTTCTATCGGGTTTAAATCAGGAGATCTCGCTGGTATTTTATGCTGTGTCCATTCAATACTATCCAGGGCTAATAAGGCTACTTTGCTATTTTGGCAGGGGCAGTTGTCCATGACAAATATGCGCTGCCTTCCTCTCCTTGGACCAGCTTTAGCGAAGCATAAGTTTAGGTTTTCCTTCACGAAACTGCAAAAAAAGGACCGTCCATTTTCTTGTATGCCTTTCTTAAAATTACGCCTTTACCATATGCAACGGCGACCATGAGATGCAATCGCCTTCCTCCAGGCAAATCTTTACTTCCTTTACTTGTAATCTCTAGTCCTTCACCTCGCTTTCTCCACACACGCGATTTCGGTTGCAGGGCTGTTTTAAGTGGATTGTATTTGTGAACAAATGAAATGCCGTCTAGATAGAATGAGATGTCATGTGTGTAGAACTTAGGAGAGTCTAAGTAATTTTTTTGCATTTTGTGCATATTTGGTTCGAATTTTTTTGTCAGATTCACTTAATAATCTTTTTTTTCTTGCTTGCAAATGGTGATAACCGGCGCGATTAAGATAAAGAGAAATTGTCCTTCGCTTTGCAATGCTTGGATCCAGTCCACTTTCCTGTATAACATCTTTCACGGAGAAGTTCACTGACGTCTTTTGTAACGTCTTAACAGCTCGCAATAGTAATCTTTCATCCCTTTCGTTGAGACATCTTGGTCGTCCAACTCTACCATTTGAAATTTTAAGCACCAACTTCCGACGCAATTTCGTGTTGCAGATTTTATGAACCACTGACTTAGACACTCCACATCGCACAGCAATTTTTCTATAGCTCAGTTCAGTTTCATTTTTGTACAAACGAATTAACGCTGTTGTTTCAGGGCAAAGCTTGTTGACCATTTTTAGAAATAATTAATTAATAATTACATGTGTTGAACTCATTTGGTTTATTTCGGTATATTTTATTATATATTATAAGTTTTATAAAGGTTTTTTTTTCTTTACGTAACATAATATGAGACACGCACACAAGGCATCAGTGTTCTCCGATCTCATGATGCTCTTCTCATAGGATATGACATAATATGAACAACATTGAAAACATTGTGCAACACCCCCACTTGGTTTCATGAACTAAAGTTATTTACATTTTTTTTAACTTTACTTAACTACTAAAGCTTCACATGTGTTAATTACATGCATGCCCACCCCCACTATCAACCTAGCCAAAAAACTAACAAATGCTAATTACATGGATTGTAACCCAAATAGGATGGGTCTAAACCTGTCCAGTTTAACTTTGGTAGCTGGTTTAGTAAGTATGTCTGCCACCATATGTTCTGATTGACAGTAAGCAATGTCTATTTTACCACTTATTAGTATTTCTCGTAAGAAATGATACTTAATGTCAATATGTTTGCATCTTTGTCTACTTACCGGATTTTTACTTAAGGCTATTGCCCCTTGATTATCCTCATATATTTGTGTGCATGTATATATTTTGCTATCCATACTGTTAAGTAACTGCATCAAATATAAACTTTCCTGAGTAGTGGCTGCTAAACTTACATACTCTGCTTCACAAGTTGTAAGCGCAATTGTGGGTTGCTTCTTAGACTTCCACAATATGGGAGGACCATTCTCAGTTAAACTAAAACAGTACCCATGGAGGAGATTGCATCTCCAAGCATTCCTTGTTCTGCAGCAAAGAGAAAAATAAGTACGCACTGCGTACATGTGGCTAGCCTATTCAGCCTGTCGAATACAGCTAGAGTTCACATTGTCATAAACATTTATCACACACATTCGTTGTGATACAAAATTAATAATACAAAATAAAACAGATGCAGTATCTTTCTTACAATGCCAATAAATGGCTACAATCACTCGATTTAAAAGCAATGGCTTGTAGCAATGGTGCAGCCAACAATATTATCGAGTCACACTTTAATAATAAGCATATATTCAGCAACTAATGTATTGATGTCACTTTTATTGTTTTTCAAAATTTCACTAATATGTAATTCAACACTAAAATTTCATCACATAGGTTTCTTGTTATTTAACAATTATTCGCCGAAGGCGAGGTGATTATCGGTGAATAAAAACTGAGACGAAGTCGAGGTTTTTATTCACGATAATCACCGAGCCTGAGGTGAATAATTGTTTTAGTATAATTTCATAGGTGATTATATGGAAAAAATAAAAAATACACATTTCTTCGTTATTTAATTGACAAAAAGGCTTCGGCCGCCATTTTGAAAATCGCTTAGGTGATTATCACGTAATAATCACCTCAACGGCAACCAATCAGCGTGGAGAATTTTCAATAATCACCAATGTAATTATACTAAATAAATATATTCTGGTGTCTGGTTTACAAGTTATTAGCTTTTCTTGATTTGCTGGCATCGCAGATTTCATAAAACCTTTAACACAATCATTAAGCTGCAGAGCTTTCCCACTGGCACTGACAAGTAAAATTGTTTGGTGTTAAACAAGTAAAAATGTAGGGCGCAATGGGTTAAATTCAAAGTTCTTCATTAATATAATATTTAATACTAGATTTCTAAACATTTTAATTTATTTATTGTAAGATCTATTAAAAGCATCGTAATTTATAATGAACTCATCCAATCAATTACGTCATCAGTCATCACCACTAACACTTTTGTCTGATAGTTGTATTGCCCTGATACTTGCATATTCTGATCTTCCTATATTATCCAATATTATCACCAGTCACCATATTATCAGCAAATTGTCCAGAATATGTGTTGACATGGTTGTTTGAAGTACTGTAGCTAGATGTCAGTCATGCATCACTATGATTTTGAATTGTGCTTTTATCTGCAAATGAAATATTGTAAAAGATGCAGGTATAAATTTAAACAACATTTAACTCTAGCTATAAAAGTATGAACATGCTACTCAATTGACACTGAGCACTCATACTTTTGTATGAACATGCTACTCAATTGACACTGAGCACTGTTATTAAATGCTGAAACACGCGTGTCAAAAATGCATCCAAAAGCGCCAATATGCGATACGCGGTGGGCAGCGGTTTTCGTTGCAAAAGTATCTAAAACATGCAAGTTACATGAAGTATACAGAGCGAAACTTTCAAAATGGCGGGCGAACAGAGTGGAAAATTTAGGACTATTGACGTAGTTTTACAAGAAGTTGTTTGCCATAATGCTGGAAATGATGGGAAAAGCGATGGGGCGAGGAAGATAAGGGATGCCTTGTGCACAGTGGCCGTAGAATCGAAGCTGGACTCCGACTGAAAGTCGTTCTGCCGATCTCTCAGTTGGCATATTAATAACATGGCATGCTGCGGAAATTTTGGCTAGCTCCACAATGCCCTGCATTGTTTCGGCATGAATCGAGATTATGGCTGTCGGCAATAAAAGCGGAGTATTAGACATCCATTTCATGGTGATATATATTGAGATATAAAGATATTCCCTTAGAGCTATTTTCCATGCTGGGATCAGAGATTGGTGAAAACCACTCCTGAGTATTGTGAGCCTTTTTGCTTGCTTGGGAAAAACAAAAATAATTATTTATAAACAGTAAGATTTCTCTTACTTTTATACAGCAATGCTCTAAAATCAGTAAAATGTAAATACAGCAAGTAAAATATTGTTGCATTTCAGAGCATTGTCCTTTAAATCACAAATACCCCTTTGGTCTAGAAGCCGCACTCTCATAAAAAATAAATTCATGAACTAAAGGTTTCCTGGACAGGGAAGGAGTTGTGACATAAATATCAAAAGAGTGTATTCCAAGGAAGACAAATTTTCAAGGAATATCTTGATTTATTTCACTATAAAACAGCATTCTACAATATTGAATGAACTAGGAAATGTTTCTTTTTCTCACCTGCAATATTGATTTCATTTCTCATGACAAAACATTTGCCAGAAATGATTTATAGCATACCACCTGCTGGCAGCCATAATCATGTCACATGTTGCAACAGTGGTAAGACACTGAATGTCATGACAACAACATGGCTGGGAATATGTTTGAATCTATTCATTTCTAAAAACTAGACCCTTATTGCACACATTGGACACAGTTTCTTTTTTTGAATGATTTTATTCATTGTTAGTGGGATATAGATAAATATGTAGACCACTGTTTGTTTATGATGCTCCTCTTGTTTGATCGCAGTGGGAATCGAACCCACGACTTTTGGTTTTCTTACCGACTTGACCCCATGCATGTATGGCTCAGTTGGTAGAGCATTGGACTAGCAAACCGAAGATCGCGGGTTCGATTCTCACCGCTGTCAAGCAAACTCTTCTGCTTGCCCGGTGTGAACACACTCAAAGTAGCATCAGTACCAGTGTATGCGACACCTTATAATAATACAATGTTCTACCTATCAGGATGCTAGCATGTGTATATTTTATTTCTATTAATATTTTCACACTGAGAACAATAAAATGCTGACATTGCATTATTTGATGATTGTAGTTTGATATCTTAACAGCCAAATCATTCTTGAATTCCTGGGTGTATTCCTGCAAAAACATGCAATAATTATAAACAAAATTATACATATTCTACAATAATTATAAACCCAATGCCCAACCCCATCACTCCATCTCCCTGTCAGGTGCACAAATCACCATAAATTTGTTGTTACGAGAGAGAATACCGAGCACTGTACGCCCAACGGATATTGACGGTGTTTCACAAGTTACCATCACGGTTGAATTCCCGTCGAGAACTGTACGAAAAGAGCTAAGCACAGAACTATCATCCATTGGTACTGCCCTTGTATTTGGAGCAGATGGTCGTATAGCTCGCGCTGTTATGAAAAATCCAATAATAAACAGGTCGGTTGTGAAATTGGTTCTCAAAAAGCTAGGAAAAGAATTAAAAGATCTGTGCTCTCTGAAAAACCCTTCAATTCTCAGGAAAAGCGCTAAAGCCGACATATTGAACTTTTGTTTGGAGAAAGTGTGTATTGAGTTGAAAGAACGCACTCCACTATTTTACGGAGTTTTGATGACCTGTGCGAATGCTAAAAAGGAAACTACATGGCTTCCTAGCATAGTCGTGGCCGCATCTGTGTTGTTAAAGCAGAGAAATACACATATGAATACCTTTGCAACTGTTGTCAGTTTGACTGTTAAGAACAGATCTACAGAAGTATTATTAACGATTATAGCTAGTCAATTTCTGGCATTTTTTGCATACAAATGACAATATAAAACAAGAGCCGTATTGACTATTGAACAGTCACTGGCACTTCCTATTCGGCTATATTGGTTACCGTAGTTATGAAAAGGTAAAACTTTAAAAGCAGAACCTATCTTTAAAAACGTATTTATGACAATATGTGCATAATATATGAAATTTTCAATAACACTCTTATCCAGTGTATATGTGTCAATTTCATGTACTCATATCGCGAGTTGTCAATTTCATCTCAAAATTTCATAAACATGGAAATTATGGATTTATAAATAAGATATTTTCGTTGGATTATAAGAATGTAGAAAAGTCATTTTCATTTCAATTTGCTTATAAATATTTTCTGTAATCAGCATTATTACAGAATTCAGTGGGACAATTGTTTTTTGTGTTTATAATTTATTTCTTCATCGTATTACTGTATATCCGGTTTGACTGTAAATAATAGAATTAATTTGTAGAATTAACGACCCAATTGCAATATTATTCAAATGCTGTTGTAATTTTTAGGCCATACTTCAAAGATTCAGCAAGATGAAGCTATCTTCATCAAATC